TGAAGATACTTAATCGCCTCTTCACAGACTGTGCACCGATGCTTCAGGATGCCCCGGAAGTAAGCGAACATGCAATCCAGGGACTGTAATTCTTTGCCACGATAGTAATTCATCTTTGACTCAACTGTGGTGTGGTCCGTTTGAATTGCACACCACAGAATGCTTTGGTGGCAGCGAAAATTTGTTTGCCTAAGGGTAAAATCTGAGTTCACTGATCCAACCATAACCGAAGAAATACTGTTGGCGGGTTAATGCGCTAAAAAACAAACGGTAGAATAACCGTACCAGCATATGGACTTCATAGTCTCCTTCTGAGCCAAAATGAAGCCGAACTGTCAGCACGTAGAAAAAATGGCCATTTTACAAACCGTGCTTTGTGAGAACTTTAAAATAGCCGAAGTAAATGTCTTCGTGACAATGGAAAAACTGTATAATTCATTTGACCCACTTAAAAAAAACGTGGAAGCCTCGGTGGGATTGGCACGCAAGTCAACGAAGAGAAGGCCTGAATGGATCCAATGCTCCAGGCCGCCTCCGGGATCAATGAGTTTAGTCAGCATACCTCGATGTATGGAATTCACCAATTCTGATGCAGTAAGCTGAATTCTCTTGCTGGCTTGAGTTGGAATCCCACAGCGACCATCGTGTTTTCCCACTTTGGTCAAATGTATTGTTGCGATTGGCCAACACTCTTACTATCAGATGCTTTAACCTTAGGAGTACAATTTCGAAAACACAGCACAGTTAAAGGCATAAGTCAAATCTGTAATCCAGTCACACCTCTGCTCGCCATAAGCACTTCGTATAAAATCATCAAAGCAGCCTACTCAATACGAAACTGAAGTCGCGGGGTTTGTTAGCCTGAAAATATCCCCCATAAGGCATACATACAGAAACGTGGACTGGGCATTAAAGCCCATATTACAGATTTATCAGTTTCCACGTCAGCAGTCGCAAATAAATATAATTGAATATCACTTTGACAACCCAAATCATGGCAAAGCATACATATGATACAGAGCTATATGCCTATAGTAAATCAATCATTGATGTATACCAAATATATGGTCATAAAGTAATTTTTCATCAGGCCTTCAACACTTTCAGCTAGAATAACTGAAGTATGTCACTTATTCCATTGTTTAATTACCTGCATCTCACGGTCTTATGTATAAAGAATAGCCTTCGAATATCCATAGTCTGAATTAAGGTGCAAACATTAGGAAATATTTAGGGTGAAAATACAAATGAAATATATTCTCGCCCTTCAATGCAGATGAGATTGGTAGGCGAGTCGATCACAATACGTTTCACACACATGGCTGATGGTATCACGCTTGCCTACCTACAGCCTTGACAAGTTACTCAGACATACGAACATGTGAGTGGATTGTGGTCAGATTGTTTAAATGGCGCAGACTACGCGAGCAAGTCAAAGTTACCTTCCCACCCCCTGCCGAGGTCAATCTTCCTGAATGTTTGAATCCCGGAGAGGAAGATAGGCACACGTGTACAACATCCCGTAAATATAAAGTAATTCCTGATTACGCGTAATATAAGTGCCTACGTGCGCGCATGACAGAACACCGCCCCAGCCTCGCCCCTCAAGATGCCTGAAAGTTATTCAAGTTTAAGTGATTGCCGCATCAGCCTGGCCTGGCAGGGCACATAAAGTTCATGGGTGCCTGCGTGCGACCGCTGCTGTGCGGCCACCAGAAGTTATTAAGACAGAGTCTAATGGGAAGTGCATGTCTCGCAACCTCATCGGTGAAGACAGTTCCAACATGACCACAGAGTGGGTCCATCCCTCGTATTCGCCAAATATATCGTGCGAAATTAACGTAAGCGTATACGACCAACACATCCACGAGCTCGGTAACAGCTGCGTATGCAAACTTGTGCTGCTGCGTTGTTTATCAACAGTTAGCTTTCGCTGAAATATGCGCATACATTTCAGGCTGGAGCACGTGCGTGCGTGGGTGTGCGTACGTCGATAGGACCTCAAGAGATTGCTGATAAGATTTTGTCAATAAAAATTCTAGCCTCAACCTAATCTTTAAGGCTAACATTGTGTGATTTGTTTGCTATTTTAATACCTTATCAGATCTGACTTAATACGGATAACAGACTACTCATTCTTGTTGTTACGCAGTTGCTTATGCGCATCACTAATTGCCATACTTGTATTAATTTTTAATCACAGCACCAACTTTGTAATGAAAGGGCCCTTGTTCCTTAAATACACGATTTATTTGGTTTCATTTGGTTATGCATTGTGCTCTATTTGTGTGGAGTAGATAGCAGTTGAGAAAACCAGAATTCAATCTCGAGAACTATGCTGGAAATTCCGTAGTAAAAGCGATCAAATAATTGTCCGTTAACTACGATGAATATGTAAGGGCAATAAGAGGTTCAGGCTTAGCTCCCCCAGTAAATTAATTTTGTTTTGCCTCGTTGCAACCCACTTTAATGTACTTTAGGGGTGACAACACATTTGGCAGACTTTCAAATTTCAAGATAAATTTTCGTCATGCTACGATTGCAGTGGCAGGGGCTCTATAGACAGGCGGTAAGTTTTTTGTGTGATCGGTGTCTTCATATAAATAATAAACAGTTTACCAAAATCCAAGAATCTATTTCTTTTTGGCATCCGAATTAACGTACAGTTTTCATATTAGTTATAACTTTCACAAAAGAAAGTTGTAGTATTAGTGATAGATATACTATATATATATATATATATA